AGACTTTGTCCCAAACAAATAAATATAAAAACAAAACCCCAAGCAGTCTCAGGGGTAAAAGGAACTGCGAGTGCTAAGGCATTTGTAAACCCTGAGAATCCAAAGAGGTCCAGGGCCGTGCAGGATTTTCAGTGGGGAAGAATGAACCAGAGAACCTCGTTTTACCTGTCATTCTCCTCTGGACCTGCTTTGAGTTTAGAGCAGTATTCTAAGATACACAGGAGGACTGGGAAATCCCAAACAAATCAGAACTCCCTAAAATAGCCTGAGATCCTAGTAGAAGAAATCCTTAAATGCCTAGGCCGGTGTGGTGGCTCATGCCTTTAATCCTAATACTTTGGGAGGCCAAGGCAGGAGGATCACCTGAGATCAGGAGTTCAAGACCAGACTGGCCAACATGGGGAAATCCTGTCTTTACTAAAAATAGAAAACTTAGCTGGGCGTGGTGGTGGGCACCTGTAGTCCCAGCTACTCAGGAAGTTGGGGCAGGAGAATTGCTTGAACCCCGAAGGTGGAGGTTGCAGTGAGCCGAGATTGCGCCACTACACTCCAGTCTGGGCGACAGAGTGAGACTCCATCTCAAAAAATATAAATAAATAAATAAATAAATAAATAAATAAATAAAATGGTGATTAAATAAGCAAGCCCTATGGGATTATTATGATAAGATCATGTAAATGAAATGCTTAACATGATGCTTTTACCACAATCATCTTCATTTTTTTTTCTTTTCTTCTTTTTTTTTTTTTAAAGACAGGGTTTCACCATATTGGTCAGGCTGGTCTTGAACTCCTGACCTCAGGTGATCCACCCGCCTCAGCCTCCCAAAGTGCTAGGATTACAGGCGTGAGTCACTGCACCTGGCTAATCATCTTCATTTTTATATATATGTACATAGAGGCAGAGAGAGGTCAGGTGACTTGACCAAGGACACTGGAGAGTCAGTGGCAGATTCAAACTTCAAGTCTCTGTCCACCCCCCCAAACCCCATCCTTCTGACACTACACAGAGCCTCCTCTCAGGAAACAGAAGGCTGATGGGGATTGCTCTGGCCCCCAAGACTCAGGAGACACTAGAAAACAGAGGATCTCAATTCTGCTCCAGACCGGCCCCTACTCCTACATCCTGAACCATCAGCAGAGCTAACAGTCTTGCCAAGCTGTTGTCAGACCAGCTAGGCACACACACAGAAGAAAGAAAAAAAGAGTAATGAGGTGACCAAAAAAATAGGAGAGTAGAGCCAAGCGTAGTGGCTCTTACCTGTAATCCCAGCACTTTGGGAGGTGAGGTGGGCGGATCACCTGAGGTCGGGCATTTGAGACCAGCCTGACAAACATGGAGAAACCTCATGTCTACTAAAAAGACAAAATTAGCCAGGCATGGTGGTGCATGCCTGTAATCCCAGCTACTCGGGAGGCAGAGGCAGGAGAATCACTTGAACCTGGGAGGCAGAGGTTGTGGCAAGCTGAGATCATGCCATTGCACTCCAGCCTGGGCAACAAGAGTGAAACTCCGTCTTAAAAAAAGAAAAGAAAAGAAAGAAGGAAGGAAAGAGAAAGAAAGATACAAAAAGAGAAAAAAAGAGAGAGAAGAAAAAGAGAAAAAGAAGAAAAGAGAAAGAAGAAAGAAGGAAGGCAGGAAGGTGAAAAATGAAAAGTTGGTATGTTCCTAGTAGACTGTAAACTTCAGGAAGGCAGGGCGCATGTGCTTACCATCATATCCCTGGTACTTAGGATAATATCTGGTATATAACCGGGTTCCTGAATATGGGCTGAAAACATTTAAGATACGAGGTCATGTCATAGCCACATCACTTAGCCTCTTCATATTTCCTGCCTTTTCCCTCAAAACACACACACCATTTCAAATGTTTTGGCTCCATTTCCCATACTGGGGCTACTTAAAAATGATTTCAAAGACGTAGTATAGGCTGGGCATGGTGGTTCACGCCGATAATCCCAGCACTTTGGGAGGCTGAGGCAGGCAGATTACTTAAGGTCGGGAGTTCAAGACCAGCCTGGCCAACATGGTGAAACTCCCTCTCTGCTAAAAATACAAAAATTACCCGGGGAATGGTGGTGTGTGCCTATATTCCCAGCTACTTGGGAGGCCGAGGTGGGAGAGTTGCTTGAACTCGGAAAGTGGAGGTTGCAGTGAGCCAAGATCATGCCACTGCACTCTAGACTGAGTGACAGAGTGAAACTCTGTCTCAAAAAAGAAGAAAAAAATTCAAAGATGTAGAATTGAGTTCTGGAGAACCCAGGCCACACTGACCCCTTCCTAAAGAGCCCATCCAGTTTCTCATTCCTGGCCTTCCTCCCTTGGCTAGTTTCTCCTGGATCCCACTCTCTTCTGCCTCATAAACCCTCATTTTGACACAGAGCATGGGATTTAAAGGCAGAAGACCCAGCTTGAATACTGCTTCTACTACAGGTAGTCCCTCTAAGCCTCAGTTTCCTTATCCAAAATGGAATCAAATTATAGTAACCATCTCATGGGTTACTATGAAGATTAAATTAATAATATTCACAGAAGGCACTTAAAACAGGGCCTAGAATGAGGCAAACACTATATAAGTGTTATTATCATTGCTATTATTTTGAACTGAAGTAAAGTAGGCACATAAAGATGTTTTAAATTATAAAGCATTTTTAAAATGTAAAAGATGGCTGGGCGTGGTGGCTAACGCCTGTAATCCCAACACTTTGGGAGGCCCAGGTGTTCAAGACCAGCCCGAGCAACACAGTAAAACCCTGTCTCTACTAAAATACAAAGAAAATTAGCCGGGTGTGGCAGCATTCATCTGTAATCCCAGCTACTTGGGAGGCCGAGACAGGAGAATCACTTGAACCCAGAGGTTGCAGTGAGCCAAGATTGTGCCACTGCACTCCAGCCTGGGTGACAGAGCGAGACTCCATCTCAAAAGAAAAAAAGGGAAAGATTACTCCGATAATTTTATGGTGAGTATATCTTGGGGACGAGAATATAAACTTATCCCAAATTCCTTCAAAATGCAGATAAACAAACACTACAATAGCAAATTTCTTCTGACTCACTTTTCTTTTCTTTTTTTGTTTTTGAGACAGAGTCTCACTCTGTTTTCCAGGCTGGAATGAAGTGGCATGATCTTGGCTCACTGCCACCTCTGCCTCCTAGGTTCAAGCAATTCTTCTGCCTCAACCTCCAGGGTAGCTGGGACTACAAGCGAGTGCCACCACGCCTGGCTAACTTTTGTATTTTTGGTAGAGATGGGGTTTCAACACCTTGGCCAGGCCGGTCTCAAACTCCTTACCTCGTAATCCACCTGCCTTGGCTTCCCCAAGTGCTGGGATTACAGGCATGAGCCATGGCACCTGGCCCTTGACTCACTTTTCTTAACTGCCAGGAAGTATTTCCAGGTACAAAACAGAAGAAATGGCTATATATATACACACACACACTCACGCACAATCACTTCATGGTATTACCTTGTTTGTTTTCATGTTTAGCATCTACTTGTCCACCCCCAAAATAAAAACTCCATGATAGAAGTTTTGTCTGAATTGTTCAGAGCATGGCAGTGAGTGGGTACTTTTGTTGAACCAATGAAGAAATGAAGTTCTACAGCAGATAAGCGAAGTACCAGGTAATAAAAGTATCACTTTGAACACCTGGACTTGAATCAAAATGGAATTATTCCTCAGAAGGCCTCTGCCAGTCAATGTTGGCTACCTTAGATTGCCAAACAAGGGGCGTGGGATACATGTATATGAACAATTGGAGACCAGCCCTCTACTTTTGGAACAAGGAATTGGGGAAAGGCAGATGAGGTTAAAAATCTCCGCAAATGGCCGGGCGCGGTGGCTCAAGCCTGTAATCCCAGCACTTTGGGAGGCCGAGACGGGTGGATCACGAGGTCGAGAAATCGAGACCATCCCGGTCAACAAGGTGAAACCCCATCTCTACTAAAAATACAAAAAATTAGCTGGGCATGGTGGCACGTGCCTGTAATCCCAGCTACTCAGGAGGCTGAGGCAGGAGAATTGCCTGAGCCCAGGAGGCGGAGGTTGCGGTGAGCCGAGATCGCGCCATTGCACTCCAGCCTGGGTAACAAGAGCGAAACTCCGTCTCAAAAAAAAAAAAAAAAAAAAAAATCTCCGCAAAGAGCCTCTTTCCTTTGGCCCAGGAAGGCTTCCTGAACTCTTCTGATTTCCCCCTGCCCAGCAGCAGACGCTATTCTGTGACGGTTTTAGGCTTCCATTCGGGCTAAGCGGGCCATTCTGCCGCGAAAGTGAAGGTTACAGGGTATGCTGGGAGCTCCTTTGGCCTTGCCAGGTGAGCTTGCCCAGAGAGCCTACATCAGGCCTGTTATTATGACTATTTATTAATAATAATATCGTTATTAAATATTTATGAAGTGCTCATGCTCTGCCCGATGGTGACTCTCCCATCACTGCCCCACCCTTCCAGCAACGCCCGGGTCCCTAACCCCGAGTCCCACCGGTCATCCCAGAGTTTGTTCATTCAGGAGAATTGTGACAGGCCACCCTGGCAGCCCCAGCTGTCCCTAACCGCCGGGAACCCAGGCGTCCGTGTTCTCCAGCGGGGCAAGGATCCTCTCGTCGCCGCTGGGTCTGTGTGCAGAGCGTCCCCTGTGGTCCGAACCCCACCAGGGTTCCAGGAACAGAAACGGGGAGGGGCCAGGTCCAGGTTCCCCACCGGGTCCACCTGGCGGCCGCCCTCTCCGCTCCAGGTCCAGGGCGGCCCGCGGGCGGGCGAGGGCGCGGCCCTCGGGTGTCCGGCCCCAGGCGGGCAACCGCGCGCAGTCCGGCTCCCACAGCTCCCCGCCGCCCCGGCCCCGCATCCCGCCGCCCCGGCCCCGCGGCTTCTTTTCTCTTTATCATAAATATATAAATTATGCTAATTACGGGCATTGCATATTAACCAAACCCGAAACCTCCCCTGCCCGGCCCCCTCCCCCTCCGTGCAAACCCCTCCCCGCCCAGGACCCCGCTACTTACCCGAGCCCGAGCCCGAGCCCGAGCCGCCTTCGCCCCGGGTGCCCGGCGGCCACCAATTAGAGATTCGTCTCACAGCCCGGGCCAGGGGGCCGGGGCCGGGGCCACGGCGGCCGCCGCCCGCAGACAAAGAAGCCAGTGCGGCTTGGCTGGGCTCGGCTCGGCCCGGGAGCTGGTCGGGACCCGCCGCCGCCCCCGGGCCCCTAGCCTGGGCTGGGCAGAGCCGAAGGGGGTTCCGCGGGCTGCGCCAGGCGGAGGGGGACGGCCGGGAAGCGGGAAGGGGAAGGCGGGTGGGGGTCGGTCAGGTATATATTTTTCCTCGTTCCCCCCTTCCACGACCCCCCCTTATCCCTCCCCCCCTTTTTCCCTCCTTCTGCTACTTGGATTTTTTTAGCTGCTGCGTCATGAGCATAATTTATGCAAAGAGCTTTGCCGCATGCTGCACCGCCCGCGCCAGCCGCCGGGGGCGGCGGGCTGGGCGGGCGGTCAGGGAAGGGAGGGGAGCGCGGGAGCCGGCAGCGAGGGGTGGGGGTTGGGAGGGGACCCTCGGGCCCTGGCCTAGCGGGAGGCCTGGGAGGCTCTCTCTTGGGACAGGGATGGACGGTCAGTGGGATGGTTACTCAGCACCTTCGAGATGCCGCGGAGGTGGTTTCATTTTGCAAGGTGCCAGAGTGGGAGCTGGAGTCCGGACTGGGGACCCTCCATGCCACAAGGCATTCAGCCGAGGGTTGGGGCGGTGACTCCCTGCCACCGCCTTTCCTCTAGGTAGTCAACTCCTCAACGTTGAAAGTCTAGTTTATGTTTCTCTCTCCCTCCCGAGAAAGGCGGGGGAGTGGGCCAGGCATGGTGGCTCCCGCCTGTAATTCCAGCACTTTGGGAGGCCGAGGCAGGCGGATCACCTGAGATCGAGAGCTCACGACCAGCCTGATCAGCATGGAGAAACCCCGTCTCTACTAAAAATACAAAATTAGCCGGGCATGGTGGCACATGCCTGAAATCCAGCTGCTCGGGAGGCTGAGGCAGGAGAATCGCTTGAACCCGGGAGGCAGGGGTTGCGGTGAGCCGAGATCGTGCCATTGCATTCCAGTCTGGGCAACAAGAGCGAAACTTGGTGCCACTGCACTCCAGCCTGGGCAACAAGAGCGAAACTGCATCTCAAAAAGAAAGAAGAAAAGAAAAGAAAGAAAGAAAAGAAAAGAAAGGCGGGGGAACTCAGACATCCCTCAGCTAACGTGGAGAACCTCTGAACAGCTGTGGCCTGGCACCAAAGCAGCGAAGGGCCCCAGGTCCCTCACCCAGTGGCAGCCCTGGGCTGTGTAGTCTAAAAGCAGCTTTCCGCCCTTCTTGTCCAAGTAGACAAGGAAATGTGAACAGAATGACAAAGTTCGGTGGAATGGTGAAAAGCCTCTGTTAGCTTCTGAAGGTAGAGAGGGGACCAGAAAAGGGATGGATGTGGGGGGCTGAGGGAAAGCAGATTGGAGTAGCGGACATATGAGAGAGGAAAAAGTTGCCAGACCAAAGTGGAAGAGTGGGAATGAGGGGAGAAGAACTGGGAAGGAAGGAGGCTCTATAAATCCAATGAATGTGGATCCCAACACAGAGGCCACCTGCTGTCTCTCTAGGCTGTTTCCCCTCCCACCCTCCCGGGATATTTGGTGGTCTGATGATAGCTAGAGGTAGATGGGTTAGAGGCAGTGTGACAATGTAAGTGGAGGACTCAGTCCTCCCCAGGACTGCTCCGTAAAGCCTCCTGGTGGAAGGGTATTCAATGGCCTGGCCTCCTGGTTAACCTGGCCAGTGGAGCTCAGGCTGTGTCAGCTTGCTGTTTCCATCTGGGAGTGAGCAGGTATTGCTGGCAGCAGACTTATGAGTAACCAACGTATTACGTGCATGTATATATGTATATACTTAGGTTTTAGTCCCAACTCTTCCACTAGCAGTCCAGGCAAGTAATTTAACTTCTTCATTACTTATAAAACAAGTTTGTGAGCCTGTATGTGAAAAAAAGAAAGAAAGAAAGCTGCAAGCTCTATACAATTGTAAGGGTGTCATTCCCTGTCCAGTAGTTTGAACTCATTTTCATGGCCCTGTGAAACTCTACTACGAGACCTGGTATTAAAGTTCTTGGGGTTTTTGTTTTGTCTGTAGTCCCTGTGGTCTCTCTCCCTGAACTCAATTCTTTGAGGGCACTGGTTGTGACTCATTTTTGTACACTTTTTTTTTTTTTTTTAACTGGGGGTGGGCCTGCCTCTGCTGCCCCCAAGGGGGTGGAGAGACGGGGGCCCCCCATGTACAGTACTCTTTATGTGAAGAAGGGGCTCAGTAGTGCTGCTGAACTTTGTCACATGAAGGTTGAAACTTTTAATCTATGTCACTTGGTTTGGTGCTACATAAAGATAGGGCAAAGGCTTTGGATGCCACGGATATTAGCAACAGTTTGAAGAAGGAAATACGGATGTGATCAGAGTAGTTCAGGGAGACATACATAAAAATGTTAATTGGTCAGGTGCTGTGGCTCACGCCTGTAGTCCCAGCACTTTGGGAGGCCAAGTCGGGCAGATCACCTGAGGTCGGGAGTTCGAGATCAGCCTGATCAACATGGAGAAACCCCATCTCTACTAAAAATACAAAATTAGTCGGACATGGTGGCATGTGCCTGTAGTCCCAATTACTAGGGAGGCTAGGCAGGAGAATCATTTGAACCTGGGAGGTGGAGGTTATGGTGAGCTGAGATTGTGCCATTGCACTCCAGCCTGGGCGACAGAGCAAGACTCTGTCTAAAAAAAAAAGTTAATCATGATTTTCTTTACATTGTATACACTTCTGCAATGCTTAATTATTTAATGAGCATATTTTACTTCTTGTTTATTTAATTTCGTATTGGGGCATAACATGTACACAGTAAAATATACAAATTTTATGTATACTGTGACAAATTTTTACATGTATTTACATATTACACGTGTATATATGTGCGTGTATACATATGTACACATATACATACATATATACATGTATATATATACGTATACACACACACACCCATGTAATCCCCGCTGAAAACAAGATATAGAGCCTTTCCAAGACCTGAGAGGATTCCCTTATGTTCCTTCACTGTCCACAAATTCCCAAAGTAATCATTCTGATTTCTATCAGCATAGATTATTTTAGCTGATCCTTGAACTTCTCATAAGTGGAATCAGATAGTATGCACTCTTTTGTGTTTGACTCCTGTCACTCAACAATTTTTTTTTTTTTTTTTGAGACGGAGTGTCGCTCTTGTTACCCAGGCTGGAGTGCAATGGCGCGATCTCGGCTCACCGCAACCTCCGCCTCCTGGGTTCAGGCAATTCTCCTGCCTCAGCCTCCTGAGTAGCTGGGATTACAGGCACGAGCCACCATGCCCAGCTAATTTTTTGTATTTTTAGTAGAGACGGGGTTTTACCATGTCGACCAGGATGGTCTTGATGATCCACCCGCCTCGGCCTGCCAAAGTGCTGGGATTACAGGCTTGAGCCACCGCGCCCGGCATTTTTTTTTTTTTTAGATAGAGTCTTGCTCTGTCACCCAGGCTGGAATACAGTGGCATGATCTCGGCTCACTGCAATCTCCCTTCCCAGGTTCAAGAAATTCTCCTGCCTCAGCCTCCTGAGTAGCTGGGAATGCAGGTGTATGCCACCACGCCTGGCTAATTTTTAATACTTTTGATAGAGACAGGGTTTCACCATGTTGGCCAGGCTGGTCTCGAACTACTGACCTCAAGTGCTCTGCCTGCCTCGGCCTCCCAAAGTCCTGGGATTACAGGCATCAGCCACCATCCCTGGCCTCAACGTATGTTTTTGAGATTCATCCATGTTGTTGAATGTAGCAGTATTTTTTTGATTGCTGTGCAGTGTTCCATTGCATAATTATACCACCATTTATCTATTCTATTTATGGGCATTTGGTTGTTTCCTGTGTGGGGCTCTTAGGAGTAAAACTGCTATGAGCATTCTTGTACAAGTGTTTTGGTGAATATATGCACTTATTTCTTCTGGGTAAATACTGAGGAGTAGGATAGGTTTGGGGTATATATTTAGCTTTTGTCCATACTGCGAAATAGTTCTCTATAGTGTTTGAACCAATTTATATCTATCAGCAATGTATGAGAGAGTTCTAGTTGTTCTACATCCTCACCAGTATGTGGTATTGGTAGTCGTCTTGCAATAAAAGTATATTACATTTTTAAAAAGATATACTTTTTTTGGTTCACACCTGTAATCCCAGCACTTTGGAAGCTCAAGGCAGGCAGATCACCTGAGGTTAGGAGTTCGAAACCAGCCTGGTCAACATGGTGAAACCTCATCTCTACTAAAAACACAAAATTAGCCAGATGTGGTGGCGCATGCCTGTAATCCCAGCTACTTGGGAGGCTGAGGCAGGAGAATGGCTTGAACCCAGGAGGCAGAGGTTGCAGTGAGTGGAGACTGCACCACTGCACTCCAGCCTAACTCCATCTGAAAAGAGAAAAAAAAAAAAAGCCTGGGCCCAGTGGCTCACAGCTGTAATCCCAGCGTTTTGGGAGGGCTGAGGCAGGTGGATCACGAGGTCAGGAGTTCAAGACCAGCCTGGCCAATATAGTCAAACCCCATCTCTACTAAAAATACAAAAATTAGGCCGGGCGCGGTGGTTCACGCCTGTAATCCCAGCACTTTGGGAGGCCGAGGCGGGTGGATCTCGAGGTCAAGAGATCGAGACCATCCTGGTCAACATGGTGAAACCCCGTCTCTACTAAAAATACGAAAAATTAGCTGGGCATGGTGGCACGTGCCTGTAATCCCAGCTACTCAGGAGGCTGAGGCAGGAGAATTGCCTGAACCCAGGAGGCGGAGGTTGCGGTGAGCCGAGATCGCGCCCTTGCACTCCAGCCTGGGTAACGAGAGCGAAACTCCATCTCCAAAAAAAAAAAAAAAAAAAAAAAAATACAAAAATTATCCTGCTGAACACCCTAGAAAAAAAAAATACAAAAATTAGCTGGGTGTGGTGGCATGTGCCTGTAGTCCCAGCTACTCAGGATACTGAGGCAGGAGAATCACTTGAACCTGAGAGGTAGAGGTGGCAGTGAGCTGAGATCACATCATTGTATTCCAGCCTGGGTGACTGAGTAAGACTCCGTCTCAAAAAAAAAAAATTTTTTTTTAGACTGGGTGGCTTATAAACAACACAGATTTATTTTTCACAGTTCTAGAGGCTGGAAAGTTCCGTATTAAGATCAGTCCACAAGGACTGATCAAGATCAAGGATCAGCTAAAGTAATCTATGTTGATAGAAATCAGAATAATGGTTACTTTGGGAATTTGTGGACAGTAAAGTATTTAGTATCAAAAAAAATTATAGACTAGGTGGCTTATAAACAACCTAGATATATTTCTTACAGTTCTAGAGGCTAGAAAGTTCAGTATCAACATGCTGGCTGATTTGATTTCTTGT